TTACACTACTTACATTACCAAGAAAATATAATAATAATAAAAATAAAAGGAAAAAAAGAAAACTTTACATAAAATAAGATACTCTTAAAGTTCATAGCTGTTAATTGATCGCAAAAGCCTTCGTTTGGTAGTAAGCAGTACACAACTGCTAGAAAGCCGTCTCTAGAGCTGGTAACTTGGGAACATATATACATTTGCCAATTAAACTAACAAATACCATTGAAGAGTGGGACCAACGGATCCCATTTCTTGTTTGTAGATACTTGTTTGTAGGATTCAATTTTATATCGGGACTGAAGGGTCTTCAAAAACGTTTTTAGCTGAGGGGTCCTGTTGCGGGTTCTACAACCCCAGATGTAGTGTCTGGCTAAAAGAAAACAGAAGTTTATCTGAAGAGAAAATTTACAGGTATCGGACTTTAGGCCTCAAAAAACTGAGATATCCATCGAGTAGTCTCTAAATATAAAGTCGAAATCAGCAAGCTTTTTGTCAAAGTTTCCCAAAAAGTTTGAACATTTGGACAGTGCCTGAAAAGATGAGCGAGATTTTCCTTAGTGGTGCAGCAAAAGGAGCAGTTGGGGTCTTGCTTGATACCAATCTTTGTCAGAAACGAGTTTGTGGGAAGTATTCTTTACAGAAATCGGTATTGAAAATTAATGAGTGTCGTGCTTTTAGTACACTTGAATGCCAGGGTATATGCCATATTCCAATCAGCAACACATCCCTCCTGAGAGACCGTAGTGTTCCATTTCGCTTGACCTCTCGCCGGGGTGGACGTTTTTTTACGGACAAGTTTTTTGTAGACGACCTTAGTTCCTTTTGCGTTCTTAAGGAATAAGGTAAGAAGTGAATCTTGTGGGATAGAAAGAGTAGGGTTTTGTGTAATGCTACTGTTTTTGACTTGTTCAAGGGAAGATACAAGTCCAAAATATTTTGAAGGTTGGAGTTGGTAATTATAATTTTCAATAATATCTGTGTGGGAAAGGAAGTTATATTGTTCTTTCACAAAATCCTTTACCTTTTAAATTCCTAGCGAAAAGAGTTTTTTATCGAAGACGGGCTTGTTTTCGATCCTAATTAGCCAATTGCGCCATATGGGTTGCGCAAGAAATTGTTCCTTGGTTTTAACAACTTCTTCAAAATTGACCATATTTCTAGCAGGAGAGCCAATCAGATTGCAGGGATCTTCCAATATGTCTTTTGCCGCTTATTAGGTCGCCCCATAAAGGTAATCCGGATTTGCTAGTGGAATCCGGAATGGAGGCCCCAGTTGTTCAAAACGCAGATGACGCTAGCAACTAGTTTCCCTAATAGTTATCCGCCGAAATGTGACTTACATCTAGTAGACAGCGCTATCAAACTTTTGAACAGCCCTGGCTAGGGCTTTGGAATCCGGAATTTAGCTAAAAGAATCCGGAATCCCGCTTACGATTGGGATCCGAAATCCAAGTACTACTGACAAGAAATCCGGATCCCTGGGGCAAATTTGGCGTAAGAAGCAACCAAGCATTTAGCCTCCCCTGGTGGCATTTTCAGGGGAGTCGTATTTCCTCGATCCATTACCACACGTTCAAAGACACACGTTCATACTGACAATCAGTATGGTTTTCGCAAGCATCACTAAACTGCTTATGCTCTTGCTTGTTTAGATGACAAAATCTCTTCCGCTATTGCACAGTTGGTATTTTTATAGACTTGTCTAAAGCCTTTGACACCGTTGATCATAACATTTTAATTTCAAAATTAGAGCATTATGGTGTTCGTGGCACTGCACTTAGATGGTTCAAAAGCTATCTAAGCAATAGACAACAATATGTGGAATTTAATGGTGTCAGTTCAGAGTCTTGCGAAATAAAGTGCCGGGTGCGTCAGGGCTCAATACTAGGTCCCCTGCTCTTTCTACTCTGAAAAATGATCTGTGTAACGTGTCAAAGGTCCTGGACTTTATTCTTNCTAAAGCCTTTGACACCGTTGATCATAACATTTTAATTTCAAAATTAGAGCATTATGGTGTTCGTGGCACTGCACTTAGATGGTTCAAAAGCTATCTAAGCAATAGACAACAATATGTGGAATTTAATGGTGTCAGTTCAGAGTCTTGCGAAATAAAGTGCCGGGTGCGTCAGGGCTCAATACTAGGTCCCCTGCTCTTTCTACTCTGAAAAATGATCTGTGTAACGTGTCAAAGGTCCTGGACTTTATTCTTTTTGCTGACGACACAAACATATTCTTCTCCCACAAAGATTTTAACTTGCTTCCTGAAATCTTGAATTCTGAAATGCTTAAATTAACCCAATGGTGTCGAGCAACAAACTATCCATTAACTTTAAAAAATCAAATTTTATGGTTTTTAGACCACGCCAAAGGAGGCAAACACTTGATATATCTATTCAAATTGACAACAATGTTATTGAACGTGTGAAAGAAACAGTATTTTTTATTTATAAGTCTAGTTTTTGCCTTCCCAAAAGTTCCTTGCGCTCCTTATACTATAGTCTAATTTACCCTTACTTAACTTACTGTGTTTCAGTATGGGGATCGACATATCATTCTAATTTAAATCGGATTACTGTATTATTCTGCAAAAGAGGATAATCAGAATAATATCTAAAGTTTCTTTTGATGCTCATATCGGTGTTCTTTTTAAAGAGCAGGAGATTTTAAAATTCTCGGACATTTATTTATACCAAATAGGTAAATTTATGTATTTATGTATTTTCGTGATATGTTTACTCTTGCAAGCCAGATACATTCTTATAATACAAGAGATTCCAGCCTTTTCTATATACCTCATTGTCGAACTAATTTTCGAAAATTCTCAATTCGGTTTCAAGGTCCCACGTTTTTCAACTCGCTAAGTCGGAAAATTCAAAACCGTGAAAGTATCCGTTTGTTTGGCAAAAGACTTAAAAAATTCCTTCTTTCTTAGTTAAATTGACTCTTTGTTGAGCTACACACCTTTTAATTTTCCTTTTAGTCTTGTTTTCTCTTCTTTCTTTCTTTTTTTTTTAATTAATCCAAATTTTCATTCAGTACCCTTAATGGTTTACTCTATAGTTCCAGGAAGCCTATAGTTTATAAGCCCCCGGCTTCTACATAGGCTTCCTTGCCTTTACCACATTTGATCTTGTAAATAATTTAGTTGGAATATTGTATATTATCTTTAATGTATTTCTGTATGCTGTTGTTGTATTTCTGGTTGATGGCAAAATAAATGAATGAATGAATGACCACAAACGCCTTCTTACCTGACACCAAGATATGTGTCATTTACACTAGTTTGTAAAGCGAAGGGCAAATAAAAAAAATTGAGGCTTATGTTTTTGAGAACAAAGGTGAAAAAACCAATTTACATTTTTTCTTTTGTAGGGAGGGAGGAATTACGAATCCCCCTAAAAACGCCTGCTCAAGCCCAAGATTATATGGGCGGAGAAGACACCTTTGACCTCAAGCGAATGAATGCAGTCGTATAGACTCTTTTTCAGTAGTTCTCTAGCGCAGCAGCAAGACTAGCCATAAAGTAACAAAAAGAGAAGTGCTTAGCGCCTCTAGTGCTAGAAGTATTACACATGTAGTTGCTTCCGAACCCGTGTATCAGGTGACAAAATATAGGAAAATTAAAGACTCGTTCCCAGTTCATGAAAAAAGGGCGGAAAAGTTATTCTTTTTTTACTGATTAGAAATGAAACAGTCTTAAGCTATTTTTATTTCACAAATGCTTTAGCGCACAGCATGGAAGAATATCTCCCCTCCTTCCCAAATGCGCGGGGAAGACTGACGTGACGTGCTTTGCTTGACTGCACTGACAACTGGTTTGCCTGCGGCAGTTTGATAGTTGTTTTCGTTTTGCCGTGGCGGCAAGTGAAATCGTAACAGTTATAAGTACAAATTCTTTATTCATTTCCTTCTTGAAGTCTTTCCAAGGAATCTTCGAAAAGTTTTATGGACTCTTAAACTAACACAGTCTCAGGTGGGTACCGTATCGTCGGATTAAAAATTGTTTAAAATGCGTTGATTCGCATAAATCGTACCCTGCATAAAATTCAGGAAACAGAACAAATTTAATACTCGTGACTTTTGTTGTAGTTTTTCCACGATGTGGACTTTTTAACACTTAGCTGTAGTTTAGAAAAGCTATACACATTTCGGACCAATATTGTTTCGAGAAGTTAGCGAATAACTAAAGGTTTGGCGCCTACCATAACTTGCATTTGGTTGTGCCTAGATCAGAGGTCACGTTTTTTCGCCCGTTTTTTGCCTAACAGTTGCATTTACTTCGCGTTGTCAGCACTGGTGATTTCATTTACCCAAAAATTTTATTTCGCTGATGTAAAGAAAAAAGGATGCTCTTTAAGGCTAAACAAACCTTGGTGGTGAAAGCCATGTACCAATCCACTTTTTTATCTCTTAAAAAGTGCTAGATTTTGACCGTTGATAAAGCGATTTTGAGTCAACAGCTTTTAAAAATTTCTTAAAATATCTCTTGCGGACCAAATCGCGAGCTAATTAGTTAAAATTATACTATTAAGAGCAAAGATGGAAAAATATAAAGTGTCATTATATTTTACGAGCCAACTTTATTTTAAAATATACGACCCACTGAATATGAACCTAATTTCCCATGATTTTTGCCCATTTTAGGCCTCCGGAAGAAAAAATTTCGTTTTTGTTCTGGCTAAGTTTGAGGCCAGGTTTTTTTTACTACTTCCACCTCTAGTTGATTATTACGCGGAGCTGCTCTTAAGAGGGTCACGTTATTTAAATCTAAAATAACCTTTTAGTTTGAACAAAATACTAAAGATATAAAACAGGACATTAGTATCGTCAAATGAAACATCTACAACTTAAAATGAAAGCCGTTAATTGATGAATCATGCCCTGGTGGAAACACTTGTCTCGAACCTTACATTGATCAACTTTGCATTCTATTGATTGCCTGCTGAAATGGCTGAGTCATCAAATTCGAATGTGGTTCGCAGGTTATTTCGAAATAAGAACAATTTAAACATGATCTTAATTACCTCGACCACCGCCAAGTTTCCTCTTCTAGCGGCATAATGCAGAGCTTGTTGACCGTAAGTTGACTTCTTGGCGACGTCAGCTCCTCGAACTAACAATAGCCGAGCAGTAGCGGGGCTGTTAAATCTTCCCGCAACCTGAAGAGGCGTCGCGCATTTGTTTTCATCTTTACTGCAAATGTTTGGATCTAAAAGGAGTAACAATGGTTGGACACAACAAAACAGGTCTGGAAAAGATAGGTTAAGCAAATATTTTTTGACTTAAAGCTTTTTTAAGAAAGTTATCAGGTTTGTTTTATTAATACTTCAAATTGGCCACTTGCAATAGAAAAATCGTCAAAATGATTACCAAATTCAGGTTTGTAAACTGAAAAAAAAAGTAATGTGATCTCCCCTCTTTTATGGCGATGGCCTGTTTCATCAGCCGTTTGACGGTATGACCAATTAGCAAAAAAATTTGCTATGCGGGTCAATGTTGTTTCCTTTTTCCTGACATTGCTAACAGACAGCAGAAAATTCCCTGGTCTAGTTTATTTCTCGCTCGAGTGTAATTTTGAGGCTCTGTTCACACTGCAGTTTAAAAACCAGCTTACCCAAAGAATATTTGAAAATGGTCTACGAGCAAGGACTGGAAGCTCTTGGTAACGTAAAAATAATAATAATAATAATAATAATAATAATAATAATAATGGAAACTTTATATGTGTTGTTGAATGTACAATTGTAAATCTCGTTACGTATAGGCAATTTACAATTACTGCTTTAGACTGAATTGTTCAAGAAAGAAAAAAAAGAAGAAGAAAATCAAATCAAATCAAAATTGCATTAAGTCTGGGCTATCCCAATTCCTATTTCTACAGCAAAAGATGTAATATGTTGCTCTAATGGCTATATCTATCATTTTCTTGATTATAAAAAATTGCTGCTTTTTGTCAAAGTCAGTGTTATTCATCACGTCTAAGAACGTGGAGCATTCTTCGGAGAGAGCCCCCAAGGAGATCATAGAGAGATTTACAAATTTCACACATCTATAATTTCTACTCATTTCTTTGATCAAGTCCAGATATTTTTCCTTTTTTACGCACTGCATTGTTATTAAGGTTAGACTCGAAACCAACTGTTAATTCTAGAACATATTGGCACCTGGACTGGATTAGGAAAAGAAGATCTGGACCATAATTTTCACCAGTTATTATTAAGGGATTCAGAAAACCATTAACATCGGCATAGAGTGAAGAGTGAACATTAATTACGGGTTGAAGTGACTTGGCAATAAAGTTAAGGATTGAGTCGTGTCTTCAGGTGAAATGATCAAGGTACTGTTGACAACCAGCGACAACATAAAGGAGTGATTCAGGATTAAGGCAATAATTAACTATTCTTCTCCGAAGGCTCAGTTGATATTGTTGAATAATCCCTGAGACGAAGTCGAAGGGATTCAACAATATTAACTGAGCCTGAGGTGAATAATTGTTTTAGTATATTCACACGAAGTGATCTCAACAGAATCAGAAAGGAAACCATTTAAAAACGATCAATTTTATTGACGGGTGAATTCATGCGTGAACAAGAAGCCGTAAACAGTGGATGCGCAAAAGCTAGATCTTTATAGTATCTTCAAACATGGCAAATGATAATTTTAATCTTTTTGTATCGATTTTTGTAAGCTTTAGCATCAACGGTTTAAAAGAAGACACCGAAAATTTAAATTACTAACCAATTCTGAGAAGAAAAGTAGAGCTTTATTTGTTTCTGTCAACTCACCGTCAATGGGAAAGTTTTTTTTGTCGCTTCTTCCAATGCTATCGACAGCGGCTACGATCGAGGTGAGCGTTTTTTATCTGCAGTGTTCTTTGCCTTGCTGGCACGTACAATTTTCGAAAACATTTGCCTTCCTTTTTCCTCCATAAATTGACTTCTATAAATAGGCAAAATTGGTCTTGCGAGAAAATCCCGAAATCACAAAACAGTGACAAAGCGGCCCCGTTTTCCTCTGTAGTGGTAAACATAGCTTCGAACGTACAAAAAGCCAGCTACAGTAAACCACTTCACAATAAATCATGCTGTTTAAACATCATGAGGGATTTTCTTACCTTCAAAATCATCAACACTCGGATATTCAAAAAGTTCTTACTATGAAACTTTTGGCAAAACACCCAGTTCCAGTTCACCACAGCGATTTTGTTCTGCTTCATATCCACCGCCTAGAGCGGTAAATATAACGTCAAAGTCTGAGATAGCGAACCAATCAGATTGCTTGAATCACCAAGATCACTGAGTGTGTATATACTAATAATAATTGTAAAAGTAAATTATAGTTATCATAAAAACCTCCCAGAATCCTTTGAGGCAATTTTTTTAACTAGCTTTACAACTTTGACAACTTTATACGTAAAACACTGTCAGACCACAACGAGATAACATTTGCCATAAAATATCTTCCCATGTCACATCTAAGGTAATGACGTCATCAATCAGGTGATTATTTCCGAATTAGGTTTTTTTGTTGCTGTGGCAAGGTTTCACTAACGAGTTAAAAACAAATAGCATATATGAGGTTTTAGTTTTGTGGGGTATTTAAAAACAACCAGTTGACGTCCGACATTTAAAATTTAAGTGGGTAATGAACATGAGCGGAAAAGTGGGAAGACTAGGCCGAGGGCTGTAGAGAGTCACCCTTTTATCACACGGCAAAGAAAATTTGCGGGAGAGTAATGTTCTACCTGATAATTTTTTCACGACCATGACGTTATCAGTCACGTGAAATGACGTCATCAGTCACGTGATCAAAGCTTTTTGATCTTTTTAGTTCGCTTTTAATGTGTTTTTTTAATAATAATAATAATAATAATAATAAATAATATACCAGTTGTAGATATTAGGTAAAGGAAGAAGCCAGCCACAGATAGTCTGTACTCAAAAGACAATCAATGAAAACATTAGGACCTAAGCTATAGGTGTAAATGTAGAAATGCTATGAAATCTCAGCCAGTCAGAAGCTATTCGTCTTGATACTAAGTTGCGACAAGAGTCGTTATGGCTCTTGGTTGGGAAAGCCACTATGGGATTATACATTGGGCGGAGGAATGCTTCTTCTCAAAGTTTCATGTGTGACTATTTTGATTAATTCCGACTAAGTAACTTTCTAGGAAAAATTATCATATTTCTTCTACACTGCATTCTCTTCACCTGCACCCCCAGCTATGAGCAACTCTACAATCTCCACATGGTCATATCGAGTGGCATGGTGGATTGGAGCAAGCCCCTCCTCGTCGATTTTGTAAATAGCGGAGGCGTCTCCTTTTATGAGAGCTCTCACTAGGTCAATTAGGCCCTCACGACACGCCTTGAAAAAAACAGATAAGAAACAATTTGTTATTTTGAGAAATTATTCGATTCCATTTAGCCCTACATCAAAGTGTAAGAAAAAAATCAAACTAGGCAAGTGAGTCGGCTAACTGAAGTACTAGCTACATGTTGACACATTTCGTGATTTTCTTGTATAAAGAAAGAACTCATCCACACAGTAACATAATGACGTTAAATTGAGCTTAGAGCTCAGCACCCTTCTGTTCCAAAGCCATTTATAAATAGCAATAAGTGTGTCCGCAGGGGAGGGACCAGGGTCGCTTGCCCTCTCCGCTTTTTGTGCTAAATGAATACAAATATCACATAAAATTATTCACTAAATATGTTTTTCAGTATTCGACTAACGACCTTCCATTGTTTTTAGTTCTGTCCACAATATTAAATGATAAAGTAGAGTAATGATTGTCAGCGAAAACATGCAAAATGACATGGCAGAATTGCGTTGCTGGCCTCCAGTATATTCTCAGCGAGTTCTTGCGCCCATAAAATATGGGCGACTTAATGGATATTTTTTTTTTTGCGTGGGAATGAGCTACCAAAAAACACAGAGCTAAGATGTTCATTAGATGCACCTATTTGAACGGAAGACCGGAAAATGCAATGAAATGGCATTTATAGCATTTTATCGCCCTAGAGTCGATCAAGGCTAGTCATCAGAGTTCCTCTACAACTTAGTTCAATAAACATTTTAACAGATCAAGGCGAGTCATCAGACCAGAGTTCATATCATCTTGGCAACGGAAATGAAAATCAAAGTCTCTTAAATCAATATTTATCAGACAAACTTGACGATATTTTCAATAAAATATACGTATATAGACAGGTATATTCAATAGCTATTTCTTTGTCAAACACTTCGTAACACACTCTCTTATTCAGAGGTTTGAATTGTATTTTCCATGCCAAAAAAATAAGAATAGAATTCCTGTAAAAACAGAGCACTTTTTCCTGAATTGGTTTAAGAACTATCGAGTCTGTGATTGAAATGTTGACTGAAGGGAGAGCATGGAGATGACATATTACTATTTATTATATGGAGGAGAGTGTTTTACTGGGAACTAAACCACTCGTAGATTCCATACGCCACTTCATCCGGGACCCGAGTGGCGTATTTTCCGTATGTCACCTTTGTGAGTGTCGTATCATTCAATGACGTCACGATTCCCGCCTTTTGCTTTTGTTAAAGATATGAATTTTATGTTCTCGTGGCAAGAACAATATCTCACGAGTGAGCGAAGCGAACGAGTGAGATATTGTTCTTGCCACTCGAACATAAAATTCATATCTTCTCGCCACCGTGTAATATCCTCTATGTATGAAATTTTATACGCCTGTGACTGCAAGCTTAAGCTGAACAGCACTTTCTGTAGCTTTTGTTATCTTACTGTACAAGAGTGACACGAATAACAATATATTGGCAATGAAATCTCTCTGTTACCGATACACCTCTCACAACAACGACGGAGCTGGGAGTTATTCAACTGATACTGATATTGCACGGCTGTAATTTTCTTCTAAGAAACGAAACCTAGCGTGAACATTGGAATGAAAGTGTTCCACAGTACCTTCTTATAATGCTGCAAAAAGAAAATTGTCACCAACATTCAAACGAGACTTACTTAGCATTATTTTCTCGAACATTTATGTTGACTGTACAAGTTAATATTTCTACTCATCATTTAGAGGGCATCATTGAAAGCGAAGATATGTTTACAAATTGTTTGTAATTTTTGACCCAGTTTACCTGATAGTCGCTGAGCCACAAATCTCGCATATACTGTGCAATTTTATTCTCTCCTTATGGAACATATTTTCTCAATAAATACATTTTTTTTAAAAGTAGTATAATTAATCACCTGATGTAATCCAACGCGGTGACAAAGATTCCTCTCCACTGAATCAGAAATGCTTCTCCTTAAGATGCTTGTCGAGGAGTGTGCACGTTTGTCTTTCTTAGACAGTTGTTTTAAAGTCGACAAGGGGATGTCTTGCGTTTCTGCAGAATGTTGTTCTTCTAAGTTTTGTAGAAGGACAGTCGTACTGCGATCCATTTTATCCTAAATTAAATGAGCAAAGGCACTAAAATGAATCTGGGGTGATTTTTGTTTAAAAGCCTCGCTTTTTATCTAATTAAATATCTCTTGCCTTCCGGATGTATTAATCTAAACAAGCACGAAGATCAAACCCAAAATATTACTAGAAGTAATAAACTGCGTCGGCTCGAGTTATCTTAACCAAATTACAAGACTGCCTAACAACAGAACTAGATTGTACAAATAGTGGCATTAGTATCCTGCTAGCTTAATAAGCTTAAATCACCTCCATATAATTTACGGTTACAGTAGTTTGATGCTAGCTGCTCTTTCTACACACATCATACGTACACTGGGAGACAGAGGTTTTACAGTATCGACGCCATCACTGTGAAATGTGCTGTCAGGAGAACTTCGACTTATCACAAATTTCGATTCACCTTTTCAATTCGCATTTTGTTAGATTTACATAAATATATGTCACTGGAATCTTAAGACGATTGTAGGCTTTCTTTCTTATTCAAATAATGAGCTACTCAAAGATCATTTTATCCGTTAAAATTATCAATTATTATTAGGGTGCATCAATGTGATACGCATTTGATTACTTTCATGTAATTTTCGCAGTAGTAATAATGAATAAAGTATGCAGTGTGACTTTCACCTAGGAAAAATGTTCAAAATACTAAATTACAATTTGCAAGCTCTGCTTCTTTTCAGGTGAAATAGGCATTTGGTTGAAACGGGCTTCTAAATTAGTATTAAGGAAGTTCTGTTTACCTGAGATAACATTCGATGAAAATGTCAAAAAGCATTTATTTTAGAAATATATTTTAGCACAAATGAGGCATTAATCAATCTGTGAAAGTGAAAAGTTTAAGGCTTCTCATTATTTTTAAGGTGATAATATTCTAAATCCAACCTGTTAATCAAAATAACTAGATGATTGCAAAACAAAAATTCTTATATGAATTTAAATGTCAGTATAGATTAATTTTTAAGACGTTTTTTAAAATTATGAACGCTTCTTTTATGTCAAATCATTATACAGGAAATGAGTTTGACATACAACATTCAAGTACTACTTGCCTTTTTTTTCTTTCTTAGTTAATCCACCCGCTTCTGGAAAAGTACAAATTTTTTGACCAACATCATCATTGAAAACACCGAAAATAAAAGCAAATCAAATTGAACTAGGCAAGATAAAGGTAGTACATCAATGTTATAACAATGGGTCATTGTATTACAAGTAAAAGTACTTTTACATTTTAAGCACCTGCTGCAAATCAAAATCACAATGAAATTCCAATTTCTCTTGTCGCAGAATTCAGTCGCACCGACCTGATTTACCGGCCTTAATACGGATTCCTCCTCAAAATTTACACTATCTATAGTCCTCTTAGTGTCCGCACGCGTTTAAATTAACAGGCAAACAAACTACTGTGCCCACACGACAGAGCTTTTTCCGGTTTCTGTAGCATGAAGCACCTAGGAATATAACTACTTTCCTGGGATGTGATGGTAGCTCGCTTGTGCTAAGTCGAATGTGCTACTTTTAGCACAAATTGCATGTGACGCGCGCGCGACTATTGCCAGGGCGACACGCAAGCAAATTGAAGAAATAAATTGCGGTGGTTAATAACTTTTGGATGATGAATAATTTCATTTCCGTCCTCATTGTCTGTTTCGAATTTGAAGCATGCACTTCAGGAGAACCTCGTTAATAAGACACCGACGCTCACCAGACACATCGAGTGCGATAGAAAAAAAAAATAATAAGAAGATAAGAGAGAAAACGCGGTTATTAACATATGGGTATTTCTGTCAATTCCAGGTAGGCAGGAATTCTTGCGAACATTCTTCAAAAATTTCTTAGAAGCAATACAAATATAAAAAAGTAAGGATAATGAATACATAGATATATATTCATTTTTGCACAACGACACTTGACGCGGTAGTCAATAACTCGGCCACACACAACTAAAATCGTTTAAAAATTCGAAAAACTGTTCAAAGCGCTGGCATTTCTGTTCTATAAAAAATACATTTAAACAAATCTACGTCTCGACCCTCGACATTTTACCCTAGAACTAAATACCACTGGTAATGTTAATATCAGGGTCGATAAATAGAGGAATTACGTGTTCTCGTCTTTCCATAAAAATATCATGCAGAGCGCTTTCTTTTGGAGAATTTTATTAAGGAAAGTTTCGGATACTGAGAATGTGTTTCCGATTATGGTAATTACCTTAGTGAGAGTGTGACGAGGAGATGTTGGAGATGTCGACGTGCTAGGAATATCCTGTCACATGGGAAACATGTGCGGGAAATGCGCCATTTGAATATCCATAGTCTTAATCGCAATTTTGACACCTTGTTAACTATTTGGCTAGTATCAAAAGCACGTTCTCTGTTATCGGGATTTCTGAAACGTGGCTAGCTGACTCTGATCATACAAATGATATTGATGGTTATAGTTTTATTCATAAAAACCGTCCCAATAGACCTGGTGGAGGTGTTGGAATGTATTTAATTAGATGTTGACTTAGAATTTAAATTTCGAAATGACTTAGCTATAGACAATGAGTCATCATCCGTTGAGTCGGTATTCATTGAAGTCTGTCGTCCTAAAAGAAACAACTGAATCGTTGGAGTTATATACAGACCACCGGATTCTGATGTTAACGACTTTGTAAAAAATTTGAACTCATTTTTGACAAAAGTTAACGAAGAAAAGAAGGTATGCTGCGTAATGGGAGATTGCAATTTGAATCTAATGAATTATCAATCTCATAATCTGACTGGCGAATTCTCAGATATGATGTATTCTAATACATTTCTTCCCTTGATAACGTGTCCTACTACAATAAGGTCCCATTGTGCGACTCTCATTGATAACATATTTCAAAATTCTTTTGAAATTAATTTGCTTAGTGCAGTTTTATTTACCGATATTTCTGATCATTTATCTAACTTTTTTATTCATTATGAATATAATAAGAACAATGGAAAAAGAAAATCCTTTGTTTTCGTTCGTGATAAAAATCAGAAAAATGTGTCTAAATTTCATGATTCCTTATTAAAAGAATACTAATTGGCAAAGTATTTATAATGAGAACGATGCAAATATTGCTTATGACAGTTTTCTTAGCAAATACTTAGATATTTGTAATTCCTCTTTTCCCCTAAAAAAGTGAAAGCATCAAAGCATGCGTTTAAAAGACCGTGGCTGTCAGCGGGCGTTCTAAAATCCATTAAGAGGAGGAACAAATTGGACAAAAAATTCTTAAATTTTCCTTCTCCAACGAATGAGAAAAATTTAAAAAAATATATAGGAACAAATTACACCACTCTCTACGTCTAGCTAAATCTTTCTACTATGAAGAAAAATTTGAATCGTTGAAAAAGAATACTAAAGGTACCTGGAAGATTCTAAATCAGATAATAAATAGAAATAATTGTTCTGATAATTACCTTCAACATTCACCATCAATAATCTGTAGATTTCAGATTCTAATCTAATAGCTAATCAGTTTTGCAACTTTTTTTACCAATCTGGGGCCCACACTCGCTAAAAAAAATACCCAGTTCAATTAGAACATATGGGTCTTTTCTACCTGATCGCTTAAATAATTATTTTTTTCTTTGAATCTGCAACGCAAACTGAAATTGTTAAAATAGCTAATTCTCTCCGTCTAAATACTGCGGCTGGCCATGATAAGATCCCTTTGTAGTCTGTTAAAGAGTCTATTAATTATATTTCTGAGCCTCTGACATACGTTTTGAATCTATCAATTAAATCAGGTATTGTCCCTGCTCAAATGAAATTGGCTCGTGTGGTTCCTTTATATAAGTCTGGCGATAAAAGTTTACTTTCTAATTATAGACCTGTATCAGTCTTACCAGTCTTTGCAAAGTTTCTAACCCTAACCGTAACCCTAACCCTGCACAGAGCCAAGCGGTTACCAAAAAGATAAAAGAGGGCGAACTCAATTCTTTTGTAGATGCGCAGTTTGTGGAAATAAAAAAGTTAGATATGTAAAAACAGGATCAGTTCCTCAAACTGGAAGTGGTAAAACAAAAACAAAAAAACTCCAACGATTCAGTTGTTTCTTTTAGGACGACAGACTTCAATGAATACCGACTCAACGGATGATGACTCATTGTCTATAGCTAAGTCACAGCTAATTTTCTTCAAATCCTTTTTCGAAGCTTATTTCGCTATGTTTAAATTTCAGGCTCTGCGCATCCAAGAAACGCCAAAAGAACCTTTCATTACACTTGATTAGTTGCAGAATATATTTCAAATGTCGTCAAGCTTCTTTTTAGAGAATTTTTAGGCGCGCAAACAAAAAAGTTTCATGTTTAATCCGAACCTTTTTTTTTAACGTTTTAGGGCAAACTCTAATTAGGCTTACTAAAGTAAGTAGAAATTTTGGCTTTTGCGCATCCCGCAATAGCAAAAAACACCCTTTCATTGCAGTTAAATAGTCGCAAAATACGTCCAGAATTCCGCCCAGCTTGTTTTTGGATAGTTTTCAAGAGCGCAAACACGAAATTTTTATGATTCATCCTACACACTTTTGGTAACATTTTCTTCAAATCCTTTTTCGAAGCTTATTTCGCTATGTTTAAATTTTAGGCTCTGCGCATCCAAGAAACGCCAAAAGAACCTTTCATTACACTTGATTAGTTGCAGAATATATTTCAAATGTCGTCAAGCTTGTTTTTAGAGAATTTTTAGGCGCGCAAACAAAAAAGTTTCATGTTTAATCCGAACCTTTTTTTTTACGTTTTAGGGCAAACTCTGATTGGGTTTACTAAAGTAAGTAGAAATTTTGGCTTTTGCGCATCCCGCAATAGCAAAAAACACCCTTTCATTGCGGTTAAATAGTCGCAAAATACGTCCAGAATTCCGCCCAGCTTGTTTTTGGATAGTTTTCAAGAGCGCAAACACGAAATTTTTATGATTCATCTCACACACTTTTGGTAACATTTTCTTCAAATCCTTTTTCGAA